TTAGAGAAAGACTTCTACTACCCGATGGATATGTTGGTTTGTGTAGGCGTGTCTTGAATTCCGAGAAATCAACAAGAGCAGTCATTGTTTACAAAGGCTGTTACGCCCTAATTCCAGCTCTATCTAGATTCTTCTACTCCATTCACCATTTTCATATACCCTCTGCCAAAGATGGTCCTAAGCACGCGTCGTTCGAAAACTCCCAGTGCTCCTCGAGCATTGTCCATTGTCATATTTTTCATGCACAATAATTTTGTTTATTATATATTTGCAGTTCGTTTGCAGCAATTTTTGGAGCGATCCGTGAAGGGGAAGGCTTGCCACTTGTATATCCGAACAGTGGACCAAACAAGCCAGCAACCCCGTCCAAAGTGTCATGCATTATTGACAAATTGGCACAGTGGGTCGATTTAAAGGGAGATCTGGAGGCGCAGCGATCACATTGTCATGATTGTCTGGTAGTTCACTCAAAAATGCTATAACAATCGCCAAGCTCGCTGTAATGTCACCAAGTGCCTCGTCACCCACGAATAGGCGTCTATGTCAGTGGTCTAACAACTCTTAGCGCGCTAATGGCATAGTTCCCCTGCCGCATAGAGAGTTGCCACAATGATATTAGGTTAGCTAAGGTCAGTTAACTGACTGGTGGGAAACGGGAGCTTAAGCAATGGCTATTCTTTATGCATTTAAGAGATAGTCTACCAGAATGGATGACTTTTTTTTGTACAATTTTATGTTTTCTGATGGTTTCGGTTGTGCAAAACATGAGAATTAACTTTTTCAATACTTTCAATTGTACAAAGCATTAGAGCTAGAAACAAGATCTTGTAAACACTACACACCTTAACTGGTAGTTTGCTAAAAAAAATGCTGCAAAAATCGTCAAGCTCGCTGTAATGTCACCAAGTGCCTCGTCACCTACAAATTGGCGCCTATGTCAGTGGTCTAACAACTCTTAGCGCGCTAATGGCATAGTTCCCCTGCCGCATAGAGAGTTGCCGCAATGATATTAGGTTAGCTAAGGTCAGTTAACTGACTGGTGGGAAACGGGAGCTTCAGCATTGACTGTTATGCACGCATTTTTATGATGTAATCTAACAACAATCGTGTGTAGTGTTTACACGATCATGTTTCTAGTTCTAATGTGTTGTAAATATAATTGAAAGCATTTGAAAAGTAAGATTCTAGTGTTTTGTATATCTAAAAACAATAGTAAACATCTACATTTGAAAACATTCAAACAACGTTTACTTTAAACGTTTTGTACATCTGAAAACATCAGAGAACATCAAACACGAAGTACAATTGAAAACATCCGAACAACGTTTAGTTCTAACGTTGTGTACATCCGAAAACATCCAAAAAAGTTTGGTTCCAGCATCGGGAGGCATCTACGTTAGAAAACATCAGAATACATTTACATATAAAAACATCCGAACAACGTTTAGTTCTAACGTTATGTACATCCGAAAACAACCGAAAAACGTTTGATTCTAACATCAGGAAACATCTACATTAGAAAACATCAGAATACATTTACATATAAAAACATCCGAACAACGTTTAGTTCTAACGTTATGTACATCCGAAAACATCCAAAAACGTTTGGTTCTAACATCAGGAAACATCTACATTAGAAAACATCAGAAAACGTTTACATTTAAAAACATCCGAACAACGTTTAGTTCTAACGTTTTTTACATCTGAAAACATCCTTAAAACGTTTGATTCTAATGTCAATAGATTGAAATTTTTGACGTCAGACCGACATTAGAATGGCAAAATTTTGTTCCAAAATTTCTGATGTATACACCATGTTACGTTGCTTAAATACAACTAAATCATAATGTTTCCTAATGTTTGACATCAGGCATACATTTGATTTCGATGCTGATGTAGACATCAAAATCAAACGTTGGGCTAATGTAAATTTCTATTCGGGTGATGACCGAAAAGTTATTCCTATTTTCAATTAAACTCGTATAATCTCATAGTGATAGCAATGTTTAACATATATAGCAGGGTTCTAATCATACAAATGCAAATCGCTAGCTTTCATGTTAAAAAATACTGGTTTTTGAGTCAAAAGTTATTATACGTCGTTTGGTGGCCCCTATTGTTACTTAAGTCAAAGTGTATTTACCAGGATATTCGGGAGAATTATTAATTACGTCTCCTTACGTGCAGCCCATTCATCATTTTAGGACCACCGAAATCATCTTAGCAACAAACAGTTCGATTTATTCACTTTAATAGTGAGAAAGCGAAACGACGAACGTACACTTTTCAAGGGTTTCTCAGCGCTGTTACTTAAGTCAAACGGCATCTCCATAGAAATCGGGTGACTTAAGTAACATCGAAAACTATTTTGATCGGAAGGTGATTACGTCAAAAAGCAATTTGACTGGTAAATAAATTTAAAAATGGGATGAGATCCTATATTCGGACAGTATATAGTGTAATAACAGGAGCATCGATTGACACTGATAGCTCGTCTTTGTTTACCTTTGTTACTTTCGACGTAATGAAAATTTGCTCTTGAATTGGTTCCCGAGATTCTATCCGCCAGACTATGAATATAGCGACTATAGTTATTTCGGGACCTTCTAGTCTTAAGGGCCACCCACATTAGATCCGTTTGCGTTGCGTTGACGTAAATTTGACAGTTAGACAATAGATTTAGCTGTCACTTTGCCGCAACGCGTCCGATCCGGATCTAATGTGTGTGGGCCTTTAGAGTTACCTCTATGGTTCAGCTGTTGAAAGTTCGGTAAAAAATTACCGAGTACGGTAATAATTTATGAGTGTTTATATTCCTGCTTTTTTTCGGTGCGATTAAGGGTGGTCTATAGAGATTAGTGACGCTTAACGCTCGCATACTAGCGGGAGCAACGCCGTGTAAAGTTGTTTATTATTTTCCTCTGGCTAACCTAAAAAATGTTTGAAAGTAGATCTGTCAAAATGTGTTTGACATCGATTTGTTATGTATTTTCCTCGGATATTCACTAACACGCTCTCACATATCGCACCAATACAACCGGACGTGAAAATCTCTATGGGTGTTGGGATCCAGGTCCAAGTTCCGGGGGCCGTCGAAGTGGGTGTCCGGGGGTTCCATTTCAGTAAAACCGGTGAAACTATGTGATATTAGCGTCGTTTTGTCGTTTCTGATGCTGTTTTCACCGGCCTCTTTCTACGTTTGGTGTTGGAGGATTATCTATTTTTCTTTCGACGTCGGGTTGGGGTGAGGATGATATAGGGAACGGCATCAGAAACGACGAAGTGACGTTGATATTGTGGGGTTCGAGCTTGGAACACTTACTTGCGTGAATTTCTGGAACATCTACTTCGGTTTCACCGCTTGCAGCCCGTTTTCGGTTGAGTTGGTCGAATGTAAACAACAAGGAAAAATGACACACTGAAAATTGTTTACCCAGAATATGTATTGTTGAAATAAACATGCTTTTGAATTTAATTCAAACATACATATTTTTGTTGAAAACGTGTTTTCAATATACCTTGAACTATTTATATTTTTATATAATGAACATATATACATTTTTGATTTAAATGAACAAAATTTGGTCCCGTGCATTTTCTTAAATTGTGTTTACCGTAAAATGGGTAAAACATATATTTTTTTAAATGTAGGATGCAGGCGCTTGGTTATTTATCCTTGTTGATATAAAAAACTTCCTAATTAATTGAAAATAAATCATCAAATCTAATCAAATTCAAATTTAATTACATGAAATATTATATCACCATCACGCAGACAAATTTATCGTTGAAACAAACATATTTGAGGTAAATTTAAACGTAAACTCAGTTTGTTCTGGCCACAAAAATAAATTAGGTTCATTTCAAACGTATTTCATGTTATAAGTCATGTGATATCAATGTTTAAAATAAAAATAATACGACGTTTATTTTAAAAATATTCTTGTTGAATATTGACAAGCACACACGAGAAAAAATGGCTGCCTAATATCAACAATCAATACGAAACTAACGATTTTAAATTGGCTTACTACTTGACTAGCCTATTTGTCCCAAGCAAATCGATTAACGTACCCCATTCTAGTCGAAATTCTAGTACTACACTATGTTTGTTTTGATTCGCTATGGAAGTTTGACACATAAAATGAGGGGTTCGTGGATTTTTCTATGTTTCGAGGGGTGCATCGATAAGCTTGGGACTGAAGAGCTGAGCCAAAAAGTTGAGCTCGTTTCTTCGGGACCTTCTGGTCTTAGAGTTACCTCTATGCTAATATTAGACTCAGCTTACACGGCGAACAAATTATAGCAGACGTAATTATTTTTCCGGTCAAAATTTAGTCAAATAGGTAGTTGAATTGAGAATAAGATGAACAGTCTCTGTGTGGATCTGCAAAATGTTTGCTAAGAGCCGTGTTGATTAGATCTGATGTCGACTTCTAAGTAGCCGGACATTCTTGATCGGGATTTAATCCGATCATCCAACGTCAATGTCAAATATAGGGGCCGTTCTTAAATAATGAGACAATTTAAAAGGGACCGGAACTAATTACAAACGATGTCCTCACGGTAACTGAAAAAAAACACGATGGAGGGTTAGCTTATCTGTCCGATGATGTTCTTACTTTGCGTGGTTAATATTTTTTTTAGTTTTTTTTTCTTGGTTCCGTGCTAAGCACCAATGCTACCGACGCCAGGGAGGCAGCTCCCACACCTGGACCCTACCTAGCGACCCAACGACTCATGAACCGGGGACCATGTTATGCCTCAGAACATCCTGGCGGCGCCGACTGGAATTGAACCCAGGCCTGCTAGGGTGAGAGGTAATTACGCTTACCACTACACCACCGGCGCCGCTTTGCGCGGTTAACTGTTGAGTTAAATAGTCATTTTCGAGAAATCAGCGATATAAGTAAAATGTGACAGTTCTGCTACATCGAGGTATACCTGTATTGAAATTATTGATTCATTGCAACACTGCCCACCCATCTTTTTTTTAATGCTTTTCATTATTCGTCCTTATTCGATAAATCTAGCTTCCTTGCCCGTCTTGCCATTATCCAAAAGTATAGTGGCGGGCAAAGATGACGAATCCAGTACGCTACTCTTGGAGCGATCGGCGCTATAGTAATATCATCTTCATCACGCAATAATGCCTTCAATATTCGCTTAGCCACAGTCTCCGGTGATGCACCTGATGTAGTTGTAGAATCCATTTCTGTAATTAGTTTTATTCTTAAAATACCGATCATACAATTGCAAGAACAAAAGTTGTCTTACTTCCATACTGATTTCCAGTTCCTGTGAGTGCATTGAAAGATAACGCGGTGTTGATGTAACCAGGTGAAACTAAGGTTACTTTTACATTATGTTCAGCCATCTCTGCGCGTAGACTATCACAAAACGCTTGTAGGGCATGTTTTGATGCACCATAAGCGGAACGTTGAGGAATACTGAATTTACCTTGCACACTAGAAATACATACGATTCTACCTTGCTTGCGTTTTATCATTGACGGGAGGCAAGCTTTGGACAATGCCACCGTACCGAAGTAATTAACCAACATCACCTTGATGTCGACCTCGATTGCAGTTGAGATGCAGTCCGACCTAACGCTTACACCACCGTTGTTGATTAGGATGTCTATCTGTCCATGAATCTCCAGAACTTCTTTGACCTTATTAGGAAGTGAGTTAATATGCGACAGATCCAATGGAATTACCAGTGGTGAATGGGTAACAACGGTCTGAAATAATAAGATAACACATAATAGTGGATCAGTTTCCTTTCAATTTCAACCGAGCATTCAGTTGCACGCAGTTTGGTACGTAGAGAAAGAATGCTACAATCTTTTTTAGGTTGGTTTGCTGCGACTACAGCAAATACAGCTACATTTACTGACCTTTTATACGTACACTAATAAAATTCTAAACTTACAGTTTATTTGGTTAGTATACATACTTTTTATAAAATATTCAAAACATTATTTTTATATGTGTAAACATAAATTTCATAATCAACCCCTTATCAGTTATAAGATAGCCCATAACTGTTATATGAATGACATATTTTATTTATATGTGTGCTACCATAACAATTATGTTTCGCATCTTATAGTTGAATGTTATTTATGTGTTTTCACACATAATTTTGATATTTGAGCGCTGAGTGGTGCTAACTGCTAACTAATTGGTGCAATGCAAACGTGAGATGGTCCATAGAAATTATTTGTTTGAAATATCATTATTTTGTGAATTTTTCCGTAGGGATACGGCGAGGTATACACACAGAGCTTAGATTACCGAAGTCGGTAAAATTTTACTGGGTTTTTAAACAGCTGAGTTTTCAGTAATCAACCCAGTAGTTTTTGCTTTTGCTGAAAACTCCGTAAATTGCAGAATCTCTGAGCTGTCAAAAATTACCGTGTTAGTCAGTACTAGCAACAATCAATACGAAACTAACGATTTTAAATTGGCTCACCACTTTAGTAGCCTATTGGTCCCAAGCAAACGATTAACGTACCCTATTCTAGTTGAAATTCTATTACTACACTATGTTTGTTTTGATTCGCTATGAAAGTTTGACAGATAACATCAGGGGTGTGTGGATTCATGCAGAACATGCAGGGGTGAGTGAAATAGCTTGGGACTGCTTGGGACCGTTGTTCTGGTACTGAGTGAGCCAAAAATAATAATGATTTTCTTCGGAACCCAGTGGTCTTAGAGTTACCTCTATGGTACTAGTATTGCCGTCTTAAGCCTAGTATACAGATCGAAGCGAAACGAAAATTGAAGCACGCGAAAAATCATGAAATTTCGCTAGCGAAAAAGGTTGTGAAAAAATGTTTGTGGAACATTTTCCAGTTTCCTTTTTTCGCAGTGTGAAACGAAATCGGTCAGTTTACACCTCCGGTGAAGTGAAAATCTGACAGATACGCTCTCCCGAAACGTCAACTTTTCGCTTAGCTACTGCTCTTTTCGCGAGCGCTGCATGCGCGAAAAAAAATAAACGTAAGCGAAAAAGATGCGATCCACAAAATTAGATTTCGCTGGATCGTATCTGTTTACAGTTCAAAGCGAAGCGAAATATTTGCCAATTGCGTTTTTCGCGCAGGTGAAAAATGTAGTATTTTGTATGAAATTTTCGCTTCGCTTCGATCTCTATACAGGCCTTTATTCAGTAATTTATTTGTTTACATAGTTTTTTTGCTGAGTTTTTCAGTATTTTTATTTTATTTTTTTAATGAATAAGTCAGTAAATTCATCAACAATGTTTTTATTTCATTATTTGTTTGGGTTCATTCGATTAGCGATTTGTATTTGGGGACGGAGTTTAGTGGCGGATTAGCAGTAATGCTGTTTTAACTAGTCCAGGTCGAGCGGTCAGAGTTTCCCGGTGGTTTAGCCGGGTGGTGGCTCTTTCGATGTGCCGGATTGGGTACCTAAGTCTGAAGCTCTATAATAGGAAATTTTAGTGAAATTTCTTTCTTCAAACTAACTTGAACATCTGAAAGTCAATGCAGGAGTGCAGAAACTGATAAATTTCGGGGTAGTTTATGCAATCCTGTGTTGACTTCCAGATGTTTCACTGATTTTCACAATGGTTTCTTGTTTTCACGAGAAGATTTCCGACGTCAAGTGTGAGGTTGAATCGAGGAGGATGACATAAGAAATTTGCTTTACTGTCAGTATCAGCAAAGTTGGAATTTCGTTTGATGACTGCTCCAGTAAAACATAACGAATACAAAAAACTCGGTACTCTATTTTACTGAGTTTTAGTCATTATCCGCAAAGCTGTTATTTTACGATAAGTTCAGTACTAACTCTTACCGTATTCAGTAGTTTGTCGCAAGAGCTACTGATTGTCAGTTGTTTTATTGAGAATAGCTGTATGTTCGGTAATTTTTGTGATTTACAGTTCGAAAACTGTAAAAAAAAATTACCGAACACGGAAGCCGTGATTAAGTGTGTACGTCCAGGAGAAGCAAACGCAGGAGAAAAACGTGCAGGAAGAAGACGTAGAGGCTCACAGCGGCGAAGTATCCAGCTTTCCATGCTCGGTAATGGCGGCCTGTTTGTATGAATGAATGTATCCTTCACTGTGCTTTTCGACACTAACTGGAGGGCGTATGTTATTCTATTTTCTTCTGTTCCTGGGAGAGGGAAAGGGAGGGTCAAAATTCGAACATCCAGATAGTGTCAAAAAAGCACAGTGAAGGATACATTTATTCATACAAACAGGCCGCCATTACCGAGCATGGAAAGCTGGATAGAGATTAGTGACGTTTAACGCACGCACACTAGCGGGGGCAACGCCGTGTAAAGTTGTTTATTATTTTCCTCTGGCTAACCTAAAAAATGTATGAAAGTAGATCTGTAAAAATGAGTTTGACATCGATTTATTATGTATTTTCCTCGGATATTCACTAACACGCTCTCACATATCGCACCAATACAACCAGACGTGAAAATCTCTATACGCTAGACCCTCTGAGGCACGTTTGACAGACACGGGAGGACTTAACCGGAAAACGCCTCCACGCGAAAAATCCCTATGAAATTACCCATGTATCACATATGAAGTAACAAAAAATCACTTTAAATGCATGTATCTTTATTATTTTATTATATATTTGTAAATATGTTTTGTACATATAAAGTTAATGTACTTGATACGTAAACATTATTGTGTGTACCATGACTTTCATTTGAAAAAGACACATAATATTTATTTTCAACCGAGAAAATAATTGTTATAAACCTCACACATAAATTTTATTAGCCAAAGCAAATGAAATTCATTTATTGTAGAACAATGATTTTATTTGTGGGAAACCAAATAATTTTTATGTTCCCAAACATATGTTTTATTTGTGAAATCTAATTGCAAAAAAAAAAAATGTGGTTTCACACATAAATGGTATACGGAAATTCTCCTCGGTGTACAAATGCCTTTCTCTACACAGCAAAAAAAATATAATATCGATCAATGTAATGCAAGCTGATGTATGAAATAATGATGTAATACCAACAATCAATACGAAACTAACGATTTTAAATTGGCTCACCACTTTAGTAGCCTATTGGTCCCAAGCAAACGATTAACGTACCCTATTCTAGTTGAAATTCTATTACTACACTATGTTTGTTTTGATTCGCTATGAAAGTTTGACAGATAACATCAGGGGTGTGTGGATTCATGCAGAACATGCAGGGGTGAGTGAAATAGCTTGGGACTGCTTGGGACCGTTGTTCTGGTACTGAGTGAGCCAAAAATAATAATGATTTTCTTCGGGACCCAGTGGTCTTAGAGTTACCTCTATGGTTCAAGTGAGTTGAACGCTGAATTGAACCATCTCAACCCAGCTTTAGAGAGGGTCTAGTATAAGAGAGGAACGGACTGGCTGGTTTTGAGCCAAACGAACTGTCAAAGCCAGAGCCATACGAGCAGCGCCTATCTTGATTACATTGGCTGTTTTGCTGACCCTCTCATATGCATGCTTCAATCAGATTTATTTTTATTGTTCGTGAAGTAGCCCACAATGAAAACACACCAATATTTAATGTAACAACAATTTTTATTGTAATAGAGTTGTTCATTATTGTTCATGATCGAATCATGTTAACAATAAAATAAATGAAAAATACGATAAAAATCATTGTAACAATATTTTATTATGTACATTCATTGTACAGCTAGGTTGCAATTTTGCCGTTTTCGGAAGAGTACAACATTATAACAATCATTTTTATTGTCGACAATAAATATTAATGTTAGAGCATTGTTTCCACTGAAAATTTCACTGTAATTTTTTTTCGGGTTCTTTTTGGTAGAAAGTCATTGGCGTTCAAAAAAAAAAAAGTCTGTCAACTCTCAATTCAAAAGTTGCTCGATCTCTAGTTTTAAAAGTTTTAACTTTCAAAACGAATTGTAGTACTGTCAAATGAAAAACATTGCAGTGTTAAAATTAAAAGTGGATTATTCTAATTTCAAAACAAACTTTTACCAGGAAAGTGGGGTGTAGTTAAAATAATATGGGCTATTTTTAGTCGGAAATAAATATATTCAATTTTAAGAGCAAGCGTTTCTTAATTTAAATTTAAAAAAAACGTTTAAAAAAGCATTATTATACAGGAAAAAATATTTATTTGCAATTATGTTATAACACGTAAAGCCCTACAGTAAAAGTATGGACGACTGTCACCACAAAACTGAAAAAAGCTGTTCCAATCGAGCAAAGCGGTGCATTTTGACGGTTCGATTGGAACAACTTTTGACAGACGTCCATACTTTTACCACAAACGAAGTGACAGACGACTAACTGGCGAAGAAATCCATTAAAATAATGTGGTTCACTGTAATAGAATTTTCTTGGAAGCTTGTGCCATCAGCCACCAGATGGGTTAGTTTTTTTGTTTTGATTTGAACAAAGTTGATTGGCAAATCAAAGTTGGCACTCGTGGAGAATAGAAGAACTATGAAAGTGATGATGGTTTCAAAATTTTACACGGTGAGGTATACGAGTACAATCTTAAAATGCTTCTATTTTGGAAATGGAGCATTTTATTTAAATCTGGTTAATGCTACGTTAGTAGAAAACATAAGGACTACTCAATAAACATATAATATAAAAATATAATTTCTTTTCTGATTTTTAAGTGTATACATAGATTTCAGCTTTTCTACCACTATAGCAGAAACCAGATTTAAATAAAATGCTCCATTTGAAAAATAAAAGCATTTTAA